CCACCGTTCATAGCATTCCTTCATTCCAACTAATGCAGAAATTTTATGTGAATATGTTTGGTTCCCTTGCAGTTAATAAAGTTTTCCTAAGGCTTAAAAGGGCCTTGTGAAGAAACAGACCACAACTTGGTTTACAGCATGAATAAATTTACAGTAATTCACAGCAGGAGGGGACTGTTAAAAAAATATTGTGAGGCATTTTGACTGTGCTGTTACCAAGAATGGTGCGGTTAAACTTCCCAGCCCCGCTTACCATGTTCAATTAATCCCTAAAGGCATAAGGGAAAAAAGAAGAAAGGAGATTCTCTCAGAATGCAATGAGGACAGAAATTTCAAAAAGAACTAAAATATACTAAACTATGGAATAATTCAGCTAAAATAATATATTTAAGTTGTTTTTAATTAACTGAAACACTAGCACCATTATGTTAAAAACCTAGTCCAATCTGATCATTAATATAATATGATTCATGCATTATTAATTGATCAATTCAGCAAACATTCATCAAACGCCTATTATGATCAAGAGGTACATTAGGAACCATGGAGAATGCATATTTGCATATAAAATGTAGAGAACTCGTTCTCCATATAATACCTACATGATTTGAGAGAAACTTTTGAAGAAAACCCATCTTGTAAAGGAATAAAAGCTCAGTAGCTCTTCTTTTTTATTGTAGTGAAAATAGTACAAATTGCAAACTAAATGCAATGATCATGCTCTTTGCAAATTGTTGGTGTCCAATGATGAAACACACAACACCATACTCTCAGCCGATTCAGAATTAGCTAAAAAGTTTCATCCAAAAAAAAAAGTGTGGAAATAAGGTGAACTCCACAAATCCGTGACTTACACATAATGGATATCTAAAAGAAAAAAACAGCTGACCATGAATCCTTTTTTTTTAAATAAGACATCTAACTTGAAGATATTGGCATGTTACTATCTGGTTTCTTCAAGATGGAACTTTGGAGAAAGATTTTAAATTCAACACTCCAGTGTAATTTTCAGCTCAATTTGTCTAACTTCGCTTTAAAGAACCAAAGTTGGGAAACCATCAAAAGAAAATTAATACATGACTAAGTCCTAACCCAAAGCCTCCCCTTCTCATCCCAAATATCTAGAAATGATACACAATAGTTTTATTAAAATCCAGAACCATGTTGGAAAACCAGAAAGCATACCGTTGATGGGTAAAACGCAATGAGGACTGGACAAGAGAAAGCAGAAGAACAGGATTAAAGAAAAGCAGTGAAGCCCAAAACTCACACATAAGTATTTGCTGCACAAAACAGGGAAGTTCTGGGTGGACCCAAAACGAGAGGGGAGGATTGCAGGACAGAATGGGGTCCCACTAGGTCAAGCCGCCAGGTGAGGTGGCAAGAAAAAGAGTTGAAGTAGCAAGCAAAATAAGCTTCCTAGCACTCCACCCCACCCTGCCACCCGGGCTCGGCATCCAACAGCTGTAGCTACGTCCAAGTAGGAGCGATGAGTGTGGGAACTTCACAGTAGAAAATGTTATGGTAGGTGCTGGCGCCACCCTACAGATATGGTGAACCCCAGTGTAGAAAAGAACATTTGAGTCACAAAAACAAATCGCCAGAGATAGCAGAAATTAAAAATCGATGGTTGAAAGGAAAAACTTCAGTAGTTGGAGAAACAGCTGAAGAGCAATGTAGTGAGTAAACCGATTCTCCCATAATGCAGCACGAAAGGACAAGCAGATGAAAAGTACGGACGAAAGGCTGCGCGGTACGGAGGGTGGAGCCGGAAGTGCAAATGTCCATCCTGAATTCCTCAGTGAAAGAATCAATGGAAAGAACGCACAGAGCAAATCAATAAGAAAATTTCTGCAGAACTGGAGACATGGGCCCTCACACTGAAAGGGCATTCACGCCAAACAGAACTAAATATAAAAAATTTTTAAACCCCCCCATCTGGTTACATTGTGGTGAAATTTAAGCACAGATAAAAAGTAAATCCTCAAAGTTTCTAGAGTAAAAGGAAAAAAAAGCATAGGTTATCTATCTAGCAAGAAGCAAGTATCAGACTGGCCTCAGACTTGTCATCAGCAACACTGAATACAAAAAGAATGGAGTACAATATCTGCGAAGTCCTGAGAGCTTTGAGCCTAGAGATTTTTACTCAGCCAATAGCACTGAGAAGAAAAAATACAGGCCCATTTTCCACCTGGCGAGAGTTTATTTTTTTAAATTTCTCTGAAAGAAATATTGGAAGATATACTCCAGAAAAAAGAAAAAAACACTCCAAGAAGATGTGGTAGGACACAAAAGTCAAAGATATATGAAGAAATTGGTGATCTTAAAAAAAGCTGGTAATAATCTAAAAATAAAATCTCAGATGATAACAATCTGAGAGCTGGGAGGAAGAAGTAAAGGGAAGGAAAGTATCTTTTCTTGCCTTCTCGGGGGTTATCTTTAGACATCTGGAGAAAATATATGTTTAAATAAGTGCAGAAAATGTTTTTCCTTTATATATATTTTTTTGAAAAACCAGAAGCATAATTTATAACTTTCAAACAATTAAGAAAGAAAAAAACAAAGAGCACTATCAATGAAAGAAAGGGAAAGAAAAAGAAAAACCCTACAGAAAAACAGAGGCTATAAACAGGCAACTCACTGAAGCATAAATACAATCCAATAAACACATAAAATGCTCCATAGTAATCAGGAAAATGCAACTCGAAAGCAATGACATATCATTTCTTAAAAAGACAAAAACTGAGAAGTTTGTTAATATCAAGGTATACCTTGTTGGATAGCTATAAACTGATAGAGCCATTTTTTGATATACAAACCATATACACCAAAAATTCTGTTTCTTCCTATGTATTCTAGAAAAGGCTTTGTACTTGTACATATGTACAAAGCACATGAATAAGGATGCTCACGGAAACACTTTTGTGGTAATGAAAAAAGGGAAGTAAGCAAAATGCCCATCAACATAGAACATTTAACGTAATTAAGACATATTCTACTGTGAATACCATGCAATGGTTAAAAAGAATATGATAGATTTGCGACTATTGACCTGAAATGCTCAAGAGCAAGGAAAAGACAATATAGGAATATTGGAATATAGGAAATTATTTTTGCAACAAAATGTCTCAATATTATTTATGCAATTATAAATAAGAAAAAACACTGTGAAAGAAAATAAAAATTAACAGAGAAAGAACAAAACAATTTAACAACACGAAAGAGATAGAAAAATAAGTCTGTCAATTGGCCTGGCACATTCTTCTAGAATGTTGCTTTTTGAAAAGCATCATTAACATTGAAATGAATTGTGAGTGTTACTATGAACGGAACCATTCAGTCCTAATCGGTCAACCAAACCCATGCCCTTCTGACAGTGGATTCAAAATCGCACTTTCATACACACAATTCATTGACTAATTTGTAGGAGACATAAATAAAAAATTATTGAAAACTGACAAATTGGTTATGAAAAATGAGGACCAGCTCACTCCCTACACTTCCCCTCCCCCAACCACAATGGCCTATCAACAACACATAAGGTGGGGTGTGTTACTGGAATGTTGCCAAGACAACATGACCAAAAATTAAAATTGAAAAAATAGAATTGGTTTCAGGCAAGGGCAAAGCAGACATCTATTAAAAGGCAGTTTGTGAAATCAGAGCAGGAGTCAGATGCTTTCACTCTTTTCCTCTCAGTGGTCGCTAAGCCAATGTGGTCACAGCAGCCGTGAGGATCTGGGAGCTAGCCAAAAGGCCAGGTGACTCAACGTTGGATTTCTTGTCCCTCTAGGCAATGTCTCTCAGGGAGCAAATTTGTAGCAGAACAGAGCACAGTTACCGTCTTATCAGTCAGGAAAAAATATATATTAAAAGTTTTTTTTTAAAGTGTTAGCTAGCAAAGAAAGCTGAAGGAAGTTGGCAGAAGAACAAAGTCTTATTCCCCCATTACGAAACCAAAGGGCTCTATTTGTGACACACAAATCTGTGGGAAGGGTGATGGCTGTCTTCTCAGTCCCTTCAGGGTAAGAAACACTTATCTTTATTTTTATTACACTCTCACTAAGTGTGAGCAGCAGCTATATTTTTCTTAAATAAAAATAGACCTCAAATAAGAGAGTCTTCCAAACACAAAGAATCCGTTGTTTGTGGTTAATACACAAGTTCATTAAGGAGGAGAACCAGGTGTTACATGGCTGTCTGTTGTGTCACCAAGCACTAGGCCACAAGATCAAACTAGCTGTCTGCGGCTTGTTAGCTGGTTGACTAACTGATTCACATTTCAGAGGAGGAATAACATGGATAGGTGGGTATTACAGAGGTATGTCACTGAAGAATAGTAAAATCCTAAGCAGAACACTTTGATTTTCCTTCCTTGTAACTCACTAGCACTCACATGAGCTCTGGTTTTGCCATACGGTGCCCTTTTTAAACGCTAGAGATAAAAATGCTGAAGAGAAGAGTAGGGGGCGATGGTAAATTAGGAGATCTTAAACCAGACATGGGGAGAAGCACGCGGCAGGGCAGACTGAGGGCACCCCATCCAGAGACACAGACATCTGGCAGGAAGACAAGCGTAAGGGAATGTGCTGGATTGAATCGCATCTGCTCGTCCTGCCAGGGCACTTCCATCCCCCTGAGATCCTTGGCCGGGGTGCCAATCAAGTGCCACACTCTTAGCAGATATTTTTCGGATGGATGGATGGATGATGGATAAACAAACAAACGAACAAACAAATGAATAAACAGTATGCTTTTTTCCTCTATGCACGTTAAAGTCGCCCATTCCAAATTAATATTCTACTTGCAAAGAATATTCAGCAAAGTTGCTCCCAGCCGATTTCTCCACACTGCACACAAACGTTGTCTGATTCACTGGAGACATCAACAACATACCATATAAAATCTGGGTAGTGGTAATCTTCCCAGACTCTTTACCACACCAAGGCAATTAGAATAATTAATAGCAACTAGAACTCATTGATTTAAAAATAAATTACCACAATTGGGTATCTGCAGAGTTGCCAGGGGAATATTCTTGCTGCTTTCATTCAGGCAGTACAAATCCTGAGTTTCTGGACTGGATTTACTCTCTTGGAAAGCCTTGATCCACATAATGTCACAGGAGCATGTAAATGGATTGCCCACCAGGATCCTACACGGAACAAAAATGCAAACCGATCAGCCTCCTTTCTTAGTTTTAGCTACGCTAGTATTTATGAAATACCACACTGCAAATTCTTTCTAGCCAGCAACCTTTGAAAGTCATACCACTTTCCTAGCCTGACAGTACTGACTATTCATTTATTTATCTGATACTCACCGAGCTTCCGTTGTGTGCAAACACCACAGGAGAGACTAAAGAGTGAAACACGACGTGAGACCATACAGAACAACAGGGGAAACAAGACAGGAACAGAAGTAGTCAAAATACAGGATAGAAAAGAATGTCTCACAAACTGGGGAAAATGGGTGCCACGACATATTTATCACGGGTGTTACATAGTGGTTAAGAAGATCTTCAGTGAAGACGCTGACAGGTTTTCAGGAACGCTAGCATACTCATTTCTGACCAGGCTAGAGACCCAAGTGCTATCATTTAATAAGCTCCAACGTCAGTGGGGGCACAAAAAAATTTCATCTCAATTTAAAGCAAAGACTAAAGCGTGAGTGCCTGGGGGTTGGCACTCCTAGCTTGCTGCATTATGCAACCAGTCAGTTTTATTGAGGCAGGAAAGTGGGAGTGCACGTGAGAGAGAGAACCCAGAAGGGAGCTACAGACCTCCTTCACATGCACGCGCGCGCACACACGCACACGCACGCACAGACAAGCTCAGGGACTTTGAGGGCAAGGCAATTGAGCTCCGGGTTGAGTTGCTCAGCCCACTGTGGGAAGGTCTACCAAAAGAAAGCCACCACCATTCAGACCTCAGCCATGCTGCCTGAACGCCTGTGGCCTGCTATGGGTAAAAGAGGAAATAGTAAAGAGGAATATAAAAACCACAAGGAAAAAAAAAATCTTTAAATGCTTATTTATAATACTCAGTGGCCTATTTAAGATGAATTCCATTTATGGTAATGAGCCTTTAAATGAGGCCATTTAAAATCGTTACATAGACTCTGCCTGGCATTAACCACAATGCTTAAGATTTCTGTGAGGACGGGACCTGGGCTTTGGCAACATCATTTACTCCTGTGGTTTTCTGGTCGAGTTCTAAGAATCTCAGGGATCCCTGGAGACTTTTCCAGGAGTTTCTTTGGGGAAAATGTGGTCATGATAGACCTGTTTACTTTATGTCTGCTTGACTGCCTCCAAGTATCCCTCCAACACCAAAATAGGATTTGATGCTACAAGATATGGAATATAGTGCAACCAGCTTAAATCCCACTAATCCAACATGTTTCCTGGAGTCTGAGTACATGAAAACCGAAAGAGTCTTTCTAAAAAGAAGGTACAATTAAAGCAGCAGAGGTGGTAAAGAAGTGAAGGACTGTTTCAATTGTGAATAAAATGATGTTCCTATGACCATACAACACTAGCAGACCGCTGTCTTCTCCTCCAGCCCACTGTGCAAACTCCTTTTACAATGGTTATTACAGCACATTACACTTATCTGTTTAGGTTTCCACCTCTCCCACTGGATGACACAATCCTAGAACATAGAAACTTTTCTCCTTACATCCCCATGGCTTAGTGTCATGTCAGTTTGATTTATAACAGGTACACAATTAACATTTGTTGAATGAATTGATTAAACATGCTGCAGGGAGAATATTAAGACATAAATTTCAAATTAAAACTCTAATTTTTAATCCATCAAGAAAATTTTATGCAATGATGTCCTGAATTTCTCTACCAAGTACCTTATTCTATTTCATATACCTTCCTTTAGTTCGTCCTGCCCATTCCTATGTTAGAAACACTAGTGATTCAACTCGCTGAATTAAGTTTATTCCATATAATTGCCAACTGCCACAACTTTCACATGTAACCCCCATTACTACCTATTAACTTGTTGTGTCTCTCCACCAGTGGCATCTTCCAGTCTGCACAATTTTCTTGCGAATAGGGAAGGACCTTCATAAAAAGACTCCACAATTCAGGCAACATACAGTTTAAGCAAAAGCCACTGCCTGACAAGGCAAAAGCATTGTCCTTCTGGGCCCACATCTGCCCCACAAAGCCTCTGCATTAGGGCTCTTTGGGGTACCTTACCATAGGAATGACAAAAGTTCACATTTGCTTCATAGTGATAACACAAAGAATTGAGCACACTTGGAAATGCTAGCTGTAAGTCATGAACACATTTCAATATTTTTTCTTATCATTTTGCAGCAGAGGAATTAGGACATAGGATAAATATTGAATGGAATGGCAGACCTAGAAGGAAATCTCCCGAAGATAGGTGGGTGGGGGAAGAACTACCTCTCCTCCGATGCTCCCTTTCCCCAAGATGGACAAAAGCAGGGAGAGTTTTGCCTATCAGTAATTCCCCCGTGAATGGGTCTGCTTGGCTTCAGGTCCTGGATCTAACAGGAACCAAACAGATGCCATGAGCTATGTCGCCATTTTAACACAAAGCCCCCTTCTTTTTCTCTTTTTCTATTAGAAAACAAATTATTTACGTAAAAATGACATTTAAACTAAGCATTAATGATATGTTACTATCGAGCATTCTACTACTTTTTTTAATTACTGAACATGTTTTCATGAGGGAATAAAAAACCAAGAGACCCAAACTTGAGAAATCATTTTTCAAGAATTTTGATATAAAAATAGATCTGCAACATCACTCACTTAAAAAAAAAAATACTTAATTACCCTTTACTTTGAAAACTTTTCCCCAAATGCCACACAAAATCATTACTTACAGCTCAGACAAGTCAAGGTGACGGAAATGTTTCCTAGACAAACTCGTCAGTTTATTTCGGGTAAAATTGCTGAAAGGAATCAAAAACATTAAGCGTGAATTTAAAATGTTACATTTTAGGAACAAAGTATTCAAAAAGAGATTTTGTTTTCAAAATATAATTTATTTGATCATTATGCATGCTTTACTTAGATCCAATTATCTCTTTCTTTCACCTGGAGTGATAGCTTAGTTTTGCCTACTGTTCTTGCCTTTGGGGGAAGGGGAACATATTTTCCATTTGTCTATTTTTAGTCTCTTTTTTGCCTAAAAGCTTACTTTTCACTTACTAATTCAGAGCCAAGTTATATATCTCATACAGATCCCAACCTTTGAAACAATTAATAGGAGGATATGTGAAATAAGATATAATTTAAAACTAAACTCAGTAGGGCAAAAAGATGTTTTAAAACTAAACAGTGTCATGAATATTTTGAAATTATGTGGCACACAAAACTCTAAGTATCAACTGAATTTAATATGTGTTTATAGGAAAGGACACATTTATTGATGGAAAAACTCTGCTGAGATTGTTTACATATGGCTGAGATAATTAGGTAATTCCATGATAAGAACAACACAAAATCAGATAACAAGGAATAAGTCAGATTTTATCTTGAACTATTTGCAACATACCATCTTGAGGTTTGGACCAGCCAGACAATGAAAGAACATATTTGTGATTAAAAAAGAATAATGAATTTACTGACATATTCTAAATATGTAGTTTTAGTCAATGAATGGGAGTTTCCAATGATCAGTGCCATGAGATTTTGGAGTGGGGAATTCAGAGCTATAATCCTGGCAACTGACTCTCTCTGTGAATTTGTCCATTGTTTGAATTTATTTAAAGAGTATCCAATGCTTGGGCCTCAAGACATGTGTTCGATAAGTAACATGAATGTAAAACAAACGTCAACTTTCACAAAAACAGCCAAGACCTCAACAAACCAGGAGAAGCCAATGAACTTTTCAGTGTGTGCTTCCTGCCTGGGAAAGCAAGTGTTGAGCTGAGATTGTAGATCGGAGGGTGACAGTGATCCTGGTCCCTTAACTGAGGCTAGTCTGTGGTGTCAGCCCATTGAAATTATCACTAAAGTATCCTCGTGTGTCTGACCAGTCATCTTTGGAGAAGGGTCAAAACTCAAGAGCTGACACATGGGCTATGGCTGCTCAGCTGGTGAATGAAGAACACCCTGCTCTGGCATCTCATAACTCAAGAATGGGTATGTCCACTCCCGGCTTAATTCTATTTTGAGATTTCCACTCATCCAAACCCCTACCTACACAGGGTACCCTCCTTCCTTCCACACTTGCATCTTCTCTTTTCACACTGAGTGTAAAGTGCTCACCCACATGAAAAAACAACCCACCAGGAAGTTGTAAAATGTGCCCACATAAATGTCTTCTTTTGGAATGCAAATTAAGAATGGGTTTCACTGGCGTATAATACATTGAAAAGTCATTCTGCCTATATATTCCACAGTCTTTAAGGCAAAAATGTTTTTCGTCTTCATCAGAGAGTCCCACCTTTCTTAAAAAAAAAAACAAAAAAACCTGCTCTTCCTCCCTAAGAAAAGAGAGAGAAACAGCAAAGAAAGAGGAAACTTTCTGTAAAGGTTCTCCCTGTAAGCTGGGAAAATGCAGCCCTAGGAGCCCCCAGCCCTGTGGGGCTGCCGTCAGCACGGCACAGAGGAGGGTTACAGGCCAAAGAACAGGATGAGTCTTATGAACCATACTTATTATTGGGGCCAAAAGCCAAAAAGAAGGAAGAGGGGATGGAAAAAAATCAACAATCCTCTTACTGTTTGATGCTAGAATTTTGCAAAGGAGCTAATTAGCACCTCTGCAAAGCCTCTGGAAAACACAAATACCGACTTTTCTCACAGTCCCTGCGTTCTTAGGGGCTGGGCAGGAATTAAAGGCAGCAAGAAATAAACTCAGTAACCAGTCACTGGGGCTCTGGGCAGTCTCCACATGAAGCTAATGTGGACAATGAGAAAGACGTCCGATTTGAACTTCCCTAAAACCCAAAGTGATATAAACTGATCTTGTACACGTTTTTATAATGCTGGGAAACTCAAAGAGATAATTAATATTAATATATCCCAGAGTAGAGAGAAACAGCTTTTAATGCACATTTCTTTACCGGCTCCCTTGCACCCACTGTGTTGACATTTGACGAAGGAGTGAAATTTACATGTGGACATTTCAGGGCAGAGTAAGCCAAGCCAGTTCCCAGGTCCTCATCATAACCAGAGGTTAGGTCTAAGATTCGCAAAGGCAGATACCTGAATAAATTCTTCCTCCTTCCCTGTCCTTCTCAAAAGCAAACTACTTAATTTAATTTCATATTTTGGGGATTAAGAGCCTCCTTCATCATGTGAATATATAAAGCTTACTGACATATGACAAATTCTTCATAACTACCTGACACTTGCCTAATTTTGCTGTCTTACTATTCAACAATGGCTACAGATATCAATAGATTTTCTGCAGTTTGATCAATAATTGATATACCGACTATTGCCTCTTAAGGAAACTATATATATATATATATATATATATATCTTTAGTTTCCTGTTTTTCAAATAATACCTCTCTGAAAGAGTAGGACAGATATTTGGCCTTATATAAGCTGTGAACTGTACAAAGAATGCTACCAAAATTATCCTAGCACATATCACCATGAAAAAAATATACAAGGTGGCTTTCATACTCATATAAATAGCATGCAACAAGAAAAATTAAGAAGTGTAGTAAAGTAATAAATAAGTATACTAATAAAACTGCAATTAACCATTGCCCATTGTCCAAATCACAACATTAAGAGAGAGATAAGCTGAAAAGGCCAGTAAAATGTGGGCGTTGAGTAATTTAGGTCTAAGGTCAGCTGTAATGAAAATACCAGAACTTAACCATTGAGGTCATTAATTACATTTAAGTGATTACATTAGAGCATTCTGCCTTTTTCTTCCATCCAACTTCTCTCTTGTTTATGCTATCAAGGCCTACGCAGACATCAGATTTGTGCAGACAAACCAACTGCAGAGATGATGCCAAAAAGCATTTAAGTGAAATGTGTTAATAAAGTTTCTTGGAGTTTTATCACATTTTTACAGAATGTTTTATATCTTAATTTGCAGACTTTATTTTTAAAGTGACTTCATCATTAATGCCACCTATAAAGCATGAAGCCACAATATTGGCTTTATGAAATTAACATTTACCATCATATCAACAAATCTCAGTAGAGTGTCCAGGTGATCTGCTCTAAGAGAATGATTTCTTTTATAACTGGCATGGAAATCAGCCGAGAAACTGTTCTCCCCCAAAAAAGAAAAAGGACAAATGTTAGAAGAAAGGCTGATTCTCTAATTATATGGATGGTACAAATTTTATTTCCTGTACTCAGATTGTAAGAACCTGGAGAGGGGTTAGCTTTGCAGTCTTGATTCTGTCACTTACGTTCTGTGAACCTGAGCAAGTTCTAGGATTTCCTCACTCTTATTTTATCTATGAAATAGGAATAAAAAAGATCTTCCCTATCAATTGTCAGGAAAAAAATCAACTGAGATAATGCAGGTGAGAGTCCCATAGGTAAACTGTAGACTAGGTGGCCTGTGAGGTGTTGCTGCAAAGAGAATCTGGTACAGCAAAAAAGGGCCAATGAGTGCAGGCAACAATCTTCCAGAAAAAGCTCCCACCGAAAACTCCAGGGATGGGGAGCACCAATCTGAGCTTAGGGATGCAGACACATTCTGCACTTGGCTGAGCTTCTGCTAATGAAGAAGCCTCTCCAGAGGGCCACGTCTTACTGACTTAAATGCCATTATCTAGAAGGCTTAGCAGCAAACACCTTATAGCTGCCATTTTCCATATCTCCATTTGACTTCACTCAACAAAGCATTAACATGACTTTGAGAAAAACATTTCCTATTTTTAATAATTGTCTGAACTTTTGGCGTGTCCCATGATTGATTTTTCTCCACACAGAAAACTCTGAGAAAATAAAGGTTCAAAAAAGGACCTATTTTGCAGGGAGAGAAGCACAAGTAATTTTTAGTTTTCTAAAAAGGCCAAGGCCAAGTCAACTTCTTTCAATTCCACTAGTTTGATGTCTTCCAGGGAGCATGTCATGATTCCAAGGAAAAGAACCAAGGACTCTGTGCAAGGACATAGTTTTCACATCAGACTCCTTGCTGCTGGCCTATTGCTCTATCCAAGATGGAATTGGCCCAGAAATTCATGAAAGGGAATAAACAGCCTGTTCTAAGTACCCCTCTGAAGCTATTCAGAAATCAAACAAAATCAAAGCTAATGTTTCTAAGCTATTATCACAGCTATACTAACTTTAAAAAAGGAGGTTTGGAGTTAGGAAAAAAGGAAAATAAACAGAGGGGGGAAATACTGAGTAAATTGGGTCCTGGGAAGCAAAAGAAGCAACTTCTACTTACATGTGCTGCAGGTTGCTGTTTTTGAGAAATGCTTTATGAGCCACAAATTTTAATCCAGAATCCACAATTGTCCTATAAAAGCACATAAATTGCATGCACATTAGAACTAACCAGTGAATGTCCACATGACCATAGTAGAGAACAAGAAAAATCTCTGTGATAATGTGCACAGGACCTGGGTACTCACAGATTTTTTAGTCCCACGTAATCTTCAACATCATCTTCATTGATGATTTCTAACCTTTTCTGATTAGCAATGAAACTGCAACAAAGCAGAGAGTGAATACCAGTGATTCGGAATGTAGGCAATATCATGAAGAATGGGTAACTTCCATCCATCCTCACCACGGTGACCAAGGTGGCCCCTCTGCACCTATCCTAGCATCATCTTCTGTTTTTAAACATAGCAAGGGGAGCAAAACTAAGCGTAACTGAGAAGAAACTACGACTGATCCATTTAATGGCCAATGACCAATTCACCAGGTTTCAATTTTTTCCTCATCTTTTATCACTTCACCTAACAAGTTCAGTTCTCTTCCCCTTTCAGGGTATCACCAGTGTACCGAGGTGAAAATACCTTGGGAATGCATCTCCTACCTCTCAAAGGTGTTTCACCCTTATGGTGACAGCCACAAGGATGCTGGTGTTACCACTGCACGAGAAAAGTCATGTCTATCCTCACATTCCAGGAGAATCAGCCACCCCCTCCTTTACCTCAAGGAGGTAAACTGACACTGACGTGCATTTCCCCTCTCCTCTCTCTCCCTCCCTTCCTCCCCTCTCTCTCTGTTCCTGGCCTAACATCTACTCCTTCCACCATTGTTAGTAACAATATCATTTTCTCCTTTGAGGAACACATTTCATAAACCCCACATAGCCACAGTGCATTCTCTGCAGGAACCCACTTCTCCCTCCTCCCCTCAAACCCTCAAATATAGGAGAGAATTGACAGAGAACTCCATCCCTTTGGCCATGATGGTAGGCTTAGAGATGTGCACGTGACCTCAATTAGATCAAGGAGACTCTTTCCCAAGATAAGATTAAATAAATGAATGCTGGGGGAGAGAGAGAGAGAGTCTTGCTCTTTCTCCAGGATCATAGCTGAAGACACAGGCCCAGGGTTTCCACTGGGAAATTTTCTGCAAAGAGACTGTCCAAGAATGAAGTCAGCGCTCAGAAAGAAAGAGAGCTAAACAGATATAAAGAGAGAGAACCCTAAAAATACCACTTGAGCCTTTGGATCCAGCCATCTCTAAAGCGAGATGTCACTAATCTAAGTTTATTCTGGATTTCTGTCCACTTACAAGCAATAAAGTTGCTGGTAATACAAACACATAGCTACTAAAACCACCATCGTGGCATTTCCTATACTCTACCTTGTACAATAGTTATTTAAGTACCTATCTTTTCATCTTTTCACTTTTCTTAATCACGACTTCTTTGGAGATAGGTAGATCTGTTTTATAACTCTTAATATGCATCACAGCACCTAGCTCAGTATCTTGCACAGGGTACTCTAAGGATGGATGGATGGATGGATGGATGGACGGACAGACAGATGAACACCACTTGGGGTTACAAAAGCACTATAGGAAGTTATGCCAGGATGAATTTTCCCCTTTCTTTTCAGAAAAAATTAGGATAAATAACATATTCCAATTAAGACACTGAAAACAAATATGTATCCCTGCTGTTAGCAACATGAGTTAAAATTTAAAAAATATTAAACAATGGAGGACATATATTTAGCATCTAAAGGTCCCTTTTTCCCAGTAGGGGAAAGAAAATGATGACAAGATGTGTAGTAAGGCTGTGGGCACCTTTTTAGAAAACAAATTTTAAAAAATAAGTAGATTTTCTAAGCCAACAAAATTACACCAGAGAAATAATTTCAAAAAGGATCCACACAAATATTGTCCCTCTGTTACATAAAAACGCAGCCTCCAAGATAGAAAGGCACCTTCCTCTCAAAAATCTTGGTTCTGCCTGACACCCAGGGCCTGGCACTTAATAGACGTATGGGAAGGTTCGTTCCCTTCTCTCCTCCCACACACAGAAGAAGGAAACAGTTCAAGACTTGAACGGAAAGCTCAATTTTCAACAGCAAGTTTTCATGAAATGTTTCAAAATTATCACACTTTAGATGCATTTTTCCAAGATTTCCATTCCACTAACATTTTCAATAGAGACTACAGTGACCTCACTCTTCTAAATGATCTCACAGTAAGAACTGCATTCCAGAGAGCCCTAAATTGTTCATGCAACTGACAGCAAAAAGGGTAGATAGCATGGGAAAGTTTTCCTTCTGAGTCACACATGGGGACTTCTGTCCACTCCTTCCAGCTGAGTTAGCTGGAAGGTGCCTGTCCTGTGCTGCAATCACCTGAGAGTTTTTCATCTCTCTTTACCCGCATCATTGCTGTTTCCCCCTGCTTCCAAGGCCTGACACTCGATAAGTACTTAATCAACATCTACAGCCCAAAGCATTTATCTTTACCTTTTCTTTATTTATGTTGGTTATTTTATTTTTTCTGCATTTTCATCAGATTTTAATTTACAAACTTGGTCAGTGGTTAAATTCACAGTATTCATGAGAAGAAAATAAGCCAGTTAAGCAGAGCACCACTGTCCTTGGATATAAGACCAGACAGGAGATTTTGCTGGAAATTATCACAAGACCCATGTGAAATTATGAAATATATTCACTAGAGAATACTCTTCCACTGTGAAGGATAAATAAGTAAATTTTTGTCCTTGTCCAAATGGAAAGACCAACAGAAGAGGTGGATTAAAAGGTCAGCAAGTGCAATGGATAAGCCTCGCCCTGGGAAAACCACCTTCGTGATCATGGTATCTCCCCTGCCAGGTAAGTATATTTGAAACACGGACTTCGGTGGGGGGGAACCAAGGGCAACACACGTAACTTAAACGTATGTACACCCATAATTTGCTGAAATAAAAAAAATAAAAAATAAAAAAATAAATAAATAAATAAAAGGTCAGCAAGTATTCCTCCAGTAATAGACTCCAAGAATTGCCCCCTCATAAGTTACCATCTGTAGAGATGCCCACAATGGAGACACTGGCTACAAACTGCTGATGAAATCCACCCCCACGACACTCTCCTTAGCTACCACTATGTGAAGAATCCTGGCGTTAGAAAGGAAGCCAGTAAAGTAACAGGCCATTCACAGAGGGGAACCTCAATGGTCAGGAAGTATGTGAAAAGTTGCTCATCTCACAAGGAATCTGAAATGCAAATTAAAACAACAATGACATACTATTCTTCCCCCACTAGATTGACTTAAAATGTGATAATATAAAGCATTGCTAAGGATGCGGGAAATTTCTCTTACATTGTTGAAGAGAGTATAAATTGATATAACCACTTTGAAGAGCACTTTGTCAGTATCCTGTAAAATTATAAACCAGCACCCTTTGTGGTCCAGAAATTCTGTTTTTTTTTTTTTTTTTGAAGAGACATAGTCTTGCTCTGTCACCCAGGCTGGAGTGCAGTGGCATGATCATAGCTCACTGTAACCTCAAACTCCTGGGCTCAAGCGATCCTTCTGCCTCAGCCTCCTGAGTAGTTAGGACTACAGATGCAGGCCACTACACCCAGCTAATATTTTTTCTATTTTTTGTATAGACGAAGTCTCGCTATGTTGTCCAGGCTGGTCTTGAACACCTGGCCTCAAGCAATCCTCCCACCTGGGCCTCTCAAAGTGCTGGGTTTACAGTTGTGAGTCACTATGCCCAGTCCACTTCTAAGTATTCACCCAACAGAAATTCACACACATGGATACAAGGAGACAAGTACATAATAGTCATTATAATCTGGTCAATAGAATATTGCAATATTCACTGTAATAGTCAAAAGCTGGAAATAACTCGAGTGTCCATTATAAAGGAACAAAAATTTTTAAATATAAGGTGTATCACATATATGAATTAGATTGAATCCGATTTATATATTTGAGTAGAACAAGACCTCCATGCTAAGTGGGAAAGAATATAAGCAAAATTGTATACCAATATATACATATAGTATAAAACAATTTATGTGACCTTTTAAAAAATATACAGAAAACAATACCACATAGTGTTCACAGTCAAGTTAATATGCAAAGTATAAAAAAAGATGATTTCTATGAAGGTTACTTTGGGAAAGGAGAATGGGTCTGGGATTATAAAAAAGGAATTTAAGCTGTAAATCTGTTTATTTTACTAAATTGCTAAACTATTTCTTTTACTAAAAGAGAAAAGACTTGCAACAAAAAAAAGATAAAAATGTTAAAGCATCAGTTCTGAATATAAGTACATGAAGTTACTGTACTGTTATACTTTTTTGAATTTTTAAAATTTATGAAGAAAAAGAAAGGAGAGAGAGAGAGAATGCTATACAAGTGAAATAACTGCTGGACTCCAGGCCTTCTCAGTGACTTAGTGGACAAACACACCTGAGCTCAGGTTCTTTGCTCCTTGAACCACCCAAACGGCAAACAGTCCGACAGCCTTTTGCTCTCTGCCCCAGAGCCACTGGGCAGAAACAGAAGGCTAAGGTGCATGCTGTGCTGCCCCCTACTGGTAGCTTCCACTTGCCTCCCAGAGGATCTTGGCAACACCAGGCCTTTTCTGTCCTCCCATCTCACTGCTACTGATCCAAAAGGCAGCCGCCTCTGCAGAGACCCAGGCAGGGTTAGGAAGGAAAGAGGAAGAGCCCAGACAGGGCCGCCCACAGGCCATGAAGCAGGCTTTCCTTCAGAAAACCATTCCCCATCGTCCCCATCAAAGTGCCGTGACACTCTGTGGGCTCTTTACAGAGTCCAGCTCTGCTTAATAAAACACATCTCCAAAAAGGGCTCCATCATTCCCCAAGGAAGCAGCGGGAAGGCCCGGCATTTTGGCACAGGCCTTTGTCACAAGCTTTCTCTCCATGACAACCTCTAACTCCTCTGACCTATGCCCACTGCTGCAGAGAGCTTAGGCCCCAGGGGCTTTCAAGGCCAGCTCCTCCTCCCCTCAGAGCTCCTGTCTGGGCACTTGCCTCACAGGAATTTCACATGAGATCAAGCAGAGCTTTGGTTCTCAGAAAACAAAACTGCCCTCCCTCTAACCTGCAGACCTCGCCTTCCTTCTGTTAGGCAGATCAAATGAGCAGCCTTTCAATAGTGACCAGAGACATGGTAGATTTGGATTTTTTTAATCTGATGCTTCTTAAGACTCTCTCTCACTTACCCGCTCTGGCCCCCAAGTCCATCA